GGGGGGGGGGGGGGGGTGAAAAATGTCGATTTTGCATACGGCTCTTTAGGCCTTTTAGGCTTAGGCGCGCCAGCAAGAAAACTTCGGCCTGAAATTTTTTCTACTTTGAATTCAGCCCATTTCCCAACTTTTTTTCACAACCCGTCAAAAGAATTCTTAGATAGGTCAAAATCGCTCCACCCTTAGGTATCTCCCTAGAATTCTCAGAAGACTTTTTTGAAAAACGTTTCTAGAAGGCTTGAGAACAATGGTCCGCAAAATGTACTAGCTACCATGTGCATCCTTTGCTGTGATGTCACTTTGGTTATCGCGTTTCGCAACCTTGAACGGCCATTTTCACATAAATCTAGTGACCAGCCACTCGTGAATTCTGGTAACTATTGCTTGACCCAGATTAGTATAAACTTGTCAATTCTTTCCTCTTTTAGATTGTAAAAAAATACATTCAGAAGTATTAACGTTAACACAACTAGGAATATTTCAACTTACAACTGCTCAAAAGATGGGAATTTTTAGCAACTTGAGGGTTCCTTCCTCTTTCCCTATTAAGTTTTGTGTTGAATGTGGGTTTATTGTTTCATGATATTAAGAGGATCAATTTATAACCAAGAGAAATCGTTATAATTAAATGTAAAGTCACAAAATTTCCATAAACTCATTGATTCATTTACCTTATTTTAAACCAACATGTGTTTCCACAGACTTCTGTCTATCAAAACATACGTCCGTTTAAACTAAGGTAAAGGATTTCATGAATTTTGGAATTGCTGAACTTGGATTTAATTAATTTTTCATGCCTACACTCTCAACTAAATTAGAACAGCAAAATATATATTCCAGTTACATATCAAACTTTCATGCTTCTATTTTTTTTTTGTTTTGTTTGTAAAATGCTTTACACAGATTCTACCACGACTGCTAATCTAAGTTCCAACCTGTCAGTGTTTTTGTGGGCGAATCTGGCCATTCGGTAGACTTGAATTGCTGAGATTACAAACAGTAACACACCGACAAAAATTGTGAAGTTGCAATACGCTTGAGATGCCCAATCTATTTTGAATTGACCATCATTTTCTTGCCATATACCAGTAGAAAAGAGCAGACAGTGACCTCTGAAAAGTGCAAAAACAACCAGACATCAGAATTATTTTGAAGGAAAATACGTCAATGGGAGTAATGTCACAGAACTACATTGACCAGTGGATTATCTTAAACAATATAAACTAATATGAGAGTGATGACTACCTACAGTGCAGGATTGACATTGCAATTTTTTTTTTTTTTTTTTTTTTATGATTAATTCTGATGATATCTGGATAACCTCATAAGGTCTCAATAAACGATAATATTCCGGGACCAACTGCCATCCAAGTGTTGGGAGTAATCAGTCCTAAAATCATTGTTCCCCTTTATTTCCATATAAGAACTTGGCAAAAATGTTCCTTGCAACAAGAAATGACGACTGTCACCGAATTTTCGCGATTGAATATCATTCACCGTTGAATGATATTCGACGAATGTGCATTTTTTTCAAATGATAATCGACTTTTTCGTTGGTCTCACCAGAAACCGATGAAATCCATCAATTTGAAATTTCGAATTCACCGCGGGACTTGAGTTCGATTTTTGAATTGATGAAACTGATGCCAGATGCTTCATCTTTAACCAGAACTGTTGTTTCGTCATTTCTTTCTGTTGTTGTGTTCAGTCATTATTTTCGTATTTCATATTTTTTCTTCTTAATTTCTTAGAAAATAAAAAAATCTGAACTCTGATTGGCTCCTGCTTTCACCGATCATCGACATCACTCTGCATTCATCAATTTGTCTGATGAATGATATTCGATCGCAAAAATTCGCTGTGTGACACTCAATTTTGATCAAAGATAACTGATGCATGGTGACCAACAGTCATGAAATGGTCTACTTTGATCGGAATAATGTCATATATTGAGACCATAGAGTACAAATTGAGACCTATAGAACTGGGGAAAGAAAAGAGGAGAAAAATACATCAACATGAATGCATCAATGATGAGTTACGCCAGTAGTTTCCGCATGAATTTAAGTTGCATGGTGCCATTCTTGGATGTGACATTTGTCTCTTTCCCCAGTTCTAACTAATTTATTCAGAATTCATATTATTGACAAAAAATTCTCCGTGGACTGTACAATCGATAAATTTTATTCAGAATTGATCTGTTCTTGTAGACATTATTACGCTATGTAATCACTTGACCACTGCATACAAAATGCAGATGCTGTAACTATGTTTCAGTGAAGGCAAATTAATGGATGAAACTTAGCTGCAATTTAAAATGTGATCTAATGACCTTACTCGTCAAGGCTCAGATGACACGTGGAAGATTGTTAAGTTTGGTAAATATCTACCAGTCTCAAAACATAGAAATCACAGCCTCTTCATTCTTCTAGGCAACTGTGCTGGCAAAGCCTCAAAATTTTGATCCACATCCATCACAGCCAAGTTAAGTTGAGTGATTTATAATTGATATATTTTGAGAGCTATTATCTTATACTGCAAGGGCACAGTTTAATGAAGGCCTTGGTCTCGAATTAAGAGGAGATTGGAAGGGTAGCAGTGTCCGCAAACTTCTGTTCTCTTCAGACTCCACCTTTACCCATACGGTACTGAAGAGTACGGGAAAAAACTTCCCCTATCCTAACAAGTCAGTACGCCTGTGCGAGATCCCGCCTGCATGACATGAAGGGCGTTTGAGTTTAGCAGAGATTCAGTCTTGGCCTGGAAGGCTAGGACTTACAGAAAATCCTGCCGCAGATCATCAGTAAGCGGGAGCATGTGACCAATGCGTGTATGCTCTCAGCTCTGGTGGAGAAAGAGAGAACTTCAATTGCTCTTATGTATTAGCAATTTTACATGTGTTCTCATATGTCTGCCGTGGCTGAGTGGTAGAGCGCTCACCCCATGCGTTGAATATTATTGGTTCGCGCCCCGGGGGGAGCGAAAATTTTGCCGTCAACACACTACACATTAGATCATGAATGCCGCGATTGGCCATAAAGAAATACTTTTTCCCATAAAATAAGAGCAAGGCGTGCATTTTTGCGCACGTAATTGAAAAGGGCTCCTCTTGCAGAGAAACCTCTGGACCTAGGGTGTAGGCGTAGGGCCCTAATCATACGTGGACCGTCAAATAATCTTCTTTTTTTTTTTAGAGGAAGAAACAGACTCCAAAGACAGAAATAAATGTAACATTAGTGGGCAGTGTAAACATACAAGTGTAAACCTTTACAAAGGGGCCGTTCACAAATTACGTAAAGCACTTACGGGGGGGGGGGGGCA